AAGAGAAATCGGAGATGTCGAGCACTGCGGATTCATTGCAACAACAAAAGAAAGGCGACCTACGCGTAACATTTGAGAAGAAGCTGCGCGTGGAAGACATTAGGTTTGAGAAAATAAATGTAGGGCTCAGAAAGAAAAAAGCGTCCAAAGAGATTCGCACAGGGGTAAAGAAAATAGCTCAGCTGTTAATAGAATAAACCTTCTAGAGCAAACTATTGTAAAAATATTGACATATATTCCATCCATTATTGAAGAGGCAAAAATAAAAATGTATACTGCTGACGAAGATGAACTTTAAAGATATGACGATCGTTTTAAGAATTTATGGACCAATATGGAAAGAAATATCCACGAATTGACACTCCATTACAACAATTCATATTTTAATGTTGAGATAGAAGATGTCACCGACATTATGAAAAGATTAAAAAAACAAAAAAGCAATTTAAAAAATCGAGAAGATGAGCTATGCGTAGAAGATATTACCTTTGGTAAGTTGCGTGTAGAAGATATACGCTTCGAGAAGCCTCGCATAGATGAAATATCGAAGAAAGACAATCTGCGTGTAAAGTATATATGTTTCGAGAAGCGTTGCGTTGATGACATATCGAAGAAAGGAGGAGCAATGCACATTTAATGAAGTGAATAATAAAATGTTCTATTTGGAAATTGAGAGAATGGAAAAGACGAGATAAAAGATGCTGATGAGCAGAAAGATATGCTGAAGTTGATGACACAACGGCAGAGCAGCCGATAACAAGTCAACAACTAAATGCGATCAAAAACCATGCAACCTGGCAGAAACGAAGAAAGCAGAAGAACAAAAGAAATCTTGGAGAGCTTAATTTTTGGATAGTGGTTTTAAACAAGAGATTATATCAACTACGGAAAAAGAAGGCCTCAAGTGGCACTTTATTCCCCCGGCAAGTCCTTATTTTGGGAGGAATTTCGGAGGCAGGTGTTAAATCTATGAAACATCATCCTAAGCGTATTATAGGAGATAACACTCTCACATATGAAGAGTTAACTACACTGTTAACACAAATTGAAGCAGTTTTGAATTCACGCTCACTTTACACAACTGGAGAAGATTACGAAAACGACAGCATACTTACTCCAATGCGTTTTCTAATTGGAAGATCTTTATTGAGTGCACCAAAATTTTCTCAAGAAAAAAATTTGACGCCATTAGATAGATGGAATATTCTTAGTTGAAGAACATGACAAGATCGCAAGCTGCGGTCACCTATCCAGCACTCACTTTTGCCGCCCGGGAGAATGCTCAAAAATGAACATATGCGTTGGTAAGAAGGGGTACCATTTAATACTTATTATATAAAAAATATCTATTTTCACATATATTGAACATACGTACATCTTCTTCTTCTTAATTGGCGTAGTCACCGCTTAAGCCAGGTCATTTTCCACTTGGTCTTTCCAACGAAGTGGAAGTCTTCCTCCTCCTCTGCTTCCCCCGGCGGGTGCTGCGTCGAATACTTTCAGAGCTGGAGTGTTTTCGTCAATCCGGACAACATGACCTAGCCAGCGTAGCCGCTATCTTTTAATTCGCTGAACTATGTCAATGTCGTCGTATACGCTCGTCGTTCCATCGAATGCGATATTCGCCGTGGCCAACGCTCAAAGGACCATAAATCTTTCGCAGAACTTTTCTCTCGAAAACTCGCAACGTCGACTCATCCGTTTTTGACATCGTCCAAGCCTCTGCACCATATAGCAGGACGGTAATTATGAGTGACTTATAGAGTTTGGTTTTTGTTTGTCGAGAGCGGTTCTCTGCTTAATCCAAAAATGCTTGTACATTGTATAGGGCCCTGCAAAATTCCTCCAGAAGAACGTGGTTCGGGGTCTGGGGCTTGTAGTTGAGTACTAGCTGTCGTCTGAGGTCTGCACAAGTTCTCATTTCATTAACTGTAATGCAGCGCATAACATCTCCACTCAAAACCGCGCTCGATATGTCCGAACAGGATCTGCTGTTGGCGTGCGTCTCCGGTAGCATAAAGACCCAATATGTAGTCGATTCGGCTAATAAAGATGTAGAACGTGTTTGGATCTTCTTCGAACTTCTCAACATTAGCATTCTGGTATGCGACCTGGCTCATGTTGCTGTCTGAGAGAGCCGTCGGTGCTAATTCAGGGTCTGCCATTTTATTTTATTTGTTGTTGTTATATGTTGTTTTTTAATTTATTTCACTTGGTTGAAATCCTTAATTGTTGATTTCTTAATTTCATTTGTTTTATTCTTAATTTGTTTTACTTTGTTAAAATTTTTAATTGTTGATTTCTTAATTTTATTTATTTTATGTTTCAATTTGGTTGCACTGCAGCACTTTCGCGGTTTTATTGAGGTAACCTTTTGGATTTACGTCCTCTCCCAAATTCTGTAGCGTCTCCCTGATTTTTATTCAGGTTTTATCTATGCCGTAAAAGACTTTGCGTTATACGGTGTCGCACTATTGTCGAAGATTCTGTTAGAACATAACATGATGTTAACCGTCCCGTTGGCGTCTATAAGCGTGTTTTTTTTTTGTTTCTGATAAATGATCACGATCGACTACGCCACTTATGTTATTATGGCCCTATGCCACAAAAATTAAAAAAAAAACACACACACGCACACAAAATTGTTTAAAATTTGTTAGATGGTGACTTAAGACTAAATTTAAATTTTATCATCCGCAGGAATGAATCTAAATTCTTTCTGTTGAAATATAAACCAAAACTGCAAACAAAGCAGTTTTGCCATACCCGCACTCAGAGCACTTAGAGCATTACCCCTTGACGTATCAATTAGTGCAACGAAATTCGCTTCCAACTGTTTGCACACAACTTGCACTAAACAAACCAGTTTCGATGCTTACGATCTGTCGCGCGCTTGTTCTACGAAAAATAAAATACTCCGATTTAATTTTAATGCGTAAAAAAATATGGATAATTACACAGTAGATAATGCACTCAACTGCAACAATGTTTTTTGTTTACATTATTAGCTGAAAATTGGGAAAATTTCAATTCTCTTTTCATCAAATGTACACTTCTACGCACCACGAGCCAGACTCGTGATAATCATGTTAGGCACAAAAATTGTACCACGAGTCAGACTCGTGGAAATACGTCAACAAATATTTATATATTTATTATAATATATATATTTGAACATAACAACATTCATTGCAACAATGCCGTTGTTAAAGTTCAACAACATACAGAAATTTATTAAAACAAGCATCCGCTGCAACTCCCAGAATCGATCGACATTATTGCTGATCAATAAACAATAATGAAAATAAACAGTCATCCACTTCAATATATTGTAAATTTTGCTGACTCTGCCGTTAAGAACGCCGACGCCGCTGCCGTTGAACCATAGCTAGTTTAGGGACAAGACGAACCAAACGGGAGGGATCCGGACTACCAGGAAGGGCGGCTACACCAAAAAATAGCAATGTAAGTTAGCTTTAAGTGAAAATTAACTGTGACATTTTCAAATTTATAGAATCCTATTACTATATGAAATTACAAATTAAAATTATAAAGTGAATATTATCTGGCAATTTTTAAATTCTATAGAAAAAATTAAACTATATCATTAAGTAAAGTGGAAAGTATTGAAAAAAAATTGAATTGCATTTTGAAGTAAGGCGATAATATAATAATAACTCAAACTACGCAAAAGTAGTATAATTTAACCCAATTCTGCGATTCCTACTCAAAGGACCCACCAGGATAAAAGGGTAAAACCAGCTACTGATTTTCAAAAAAAACAAAAAAAAAAAACAATAATAATAATTAAAAATAATGATCGAAACGATTGATTGATTGATTATGGCGAATCAGAAATAAACTTATTGTAGTAAAAATACTCCAATTAAGTTAATAATATAAAATTTAATTTTGAAAACACGGATGGATAATCCAAACAATTTAATTAGACCTCCAATAAAATTTGATTATGGAGGACGACGAATGCTTTATCCAGAATTACAAATTACAATTAAAGAATAGCAATTACGTACAAACAAAGAAAAGGCATGGAAAGCAATTGCAGAAATATGCGGTAAAAGTGGTATGTATTAACACTGTTATAGGAATATATATTTTTGTATTATATATTTTGTATGTTTGTTTCAATTAAAAGATCAAGAATGCAAACATAGATTGAAGCTACTCCGGGAGCGCTTCTGCAAGGAGATAAAAAGGTTAGAAGCGCCATCAGGTAGCGAAATGAGCTACTTAGATGAATGAGGTTTTTTAAAACCTATGATATTTTTTAAAGACTCCGTCACACCGCGTCGGTTGGTATTTTGTATATATTTTAATTTTTTGAAATATAACTTTTTCATTGTGCAGCACTCGGGATAATGTAGAAGCAAATACAGACTCAGTGTTGGAGTCATCAATGAGTGATAGTTGTAATGAAATTTCATCGCCACCTCCAAAAAAAAAATTAAATAAAAGTCTCTACCTAGAAAGTCTCTACCAAAAATTCGGCGCAACAATGGAAAATTTAGAAAAGCAAATGGCGGCGCCGGCTAAAAGATGTAAAACTGACGAGGCCTTTATGACGACGGTTTTGTGTCTGATGAAAGACCTGCCAGTATCAGTTAAAGACGGTTTCCAAGAGAAAATAATATTGGAGTTATATCGATTACGTCGAGAAAATAGGCAGACATGAAATTGAAAACGACAAGAATTCAACCTAATTTCCTTATTTAATTTATTTTTTTTTAATGCTTGAAGCATTGATTTTTTTAGTTGTAGTTTTAGTATATATATTTATATTTATTATAACAAAGACGCATAAAATGCTTCAAATTACTGTACCTGAACTACATGAATTATTTGAATTTTTAATAAAAAAAAACAATCGAATGAAATATAAGAAATCCCATTTAGTTTTATTAACAAAGAAATAAACAAGTTCGAAATGATGTTAGATATATAAATTTAAAATATGTTTTAAAAACTGTTAAAAAACTGCATAAGTTATTTCTAATTTCCAAAGAACTTCTTCGACCGTAATGATCCAAATTGGAAGATTGCACAATCGATGGGATATTCTTTTCTGCGCAATAAACCGTCATGAAATTCACCATTAGAGTCCTCCCAATCAGCATAGTTGCTTGCTATATACGAAGATGCATTTTCATTATTAAACATAATAAAATTATGTAAGGCAACGCACGCCAAAACAATTTTTTCCGCATTTTCCGGAAATAAATGTAATGTTGTTAGTAAAACTCGCCAACGCGTTACTAGTATTCCAATAGAGTTTTCAATTGTGCGACGAGCTCTTGATAACCTTTTATTAAAAACCTCTTTTTTATTTGGTAGGACTCACCCAGGGTATGGGCGCATTAAATTTATCCCTAAAGGAAAGGCAGTATCACCAACGAAGAAGTGTGGAGTTTTTAGTTGCGTATTTGGTAAGTCTTTCGGTGGAGGGATGGGAAGTTTGTGATTTAGCAACCTCTTTCCCAATCGACTCACTTGAAAAATGCCTATACACGTAAAGAGAAACAATAATATTAAAGAAAAAAAACTGATGCACAAATTTAAAAGTCCTTACCACCATCACTCTGACTTCCATATGCACCAATATCTATGTAAGTAAACCGATATCGTGAATCGCATACTGCTAACAACACAATAGAACAAAATTTTTTGTAGCAGAAAAATTTACTATCGCTTTTAGGTGCTTCACATCAATAGAAATTTTGAGAAATTCGCTTGAAATCCTCATCATTAGGCTCAGATACATAAACGACGCCTAACTTCGTCCAAAGGACTTCAGCTGTCTCCAGAATAATACGCCTAACCGTGTCCTTCCCCAGTTGAAATGACCATGCCAACGATTGAAACGAAGTTCCTTCTGATAATTATCTTTAAGAAAAAGAAAAAAGAATAAGACATAATAAAAATGTATTAAAATGAACAAACTTACTGTAATGTCAAAGCTAATCGACATTCCGGATGCACAGGCTCCCTCAACGAATTCTTTTTTAAAAAGGGCTCAACAAGAGTAAGCAAAAGTCCATATACTTGTGGCGTCATTCGTGTGTATATACAGAAATGAGTGTGGTCAATCCTTTTCATTTCTAGGAAACGTGCAAAAAAACCATAATTTTTCCTCTTTCTGTTTATTTCCCTCACTGAACATGACCGAATTCTTTTTTTTTTTTTTGTAATTTCACTAATTTCTGTTAATATTCGTATTCCGTCTAAAACAGAAGTAAGCATTTTAATTGTTTTTAAATATTTTAATTTTCTATTCATTTTTGAAAAATCTAAACGAAATATAAAACCAAAACACAAATTGCTTATTGACATTTATAGTCATTCAAAAGTCTACTCTTCATTCGTTAATTATTTGACAGGCTTTTCGATTTGACGATCTTTTCGTATGCACATTATAGTTAGGCCTTAACGGAGTACTTGCACAGTCAAGCAATAATAAAATATTTTCTGTGTTAGAATTCAAGCGTGGGTTCCATTAGATCCTCATGAAGGATAGTGACATTGAAAAGCCAGCGTTGTCCGCGAACAACGGAAACTACGAATTCACTAGACTCCCCTTTGGGTTAAAAAATGCCCCCCAAATATTCAAACGCGCCCTTGATGATATACTAAGGGATCACTTAGGTAATATTTGTTATATTTACATTGATGGTATTATTGTCTTTAATAAAGATAGTAGCCAATATTAAATGCCAACTAGACAAATGCGAGTTTTCCAAAAACTAAGTAGAATTTTTAGGACTTGTTACCTCAGACAAAGGAATAGAACCGAATTCGGCAAAGGTAGAAGCCATAGCCAACTATCCATGCCCAAAAACTCTTAAAGAACTGTGATCACTTGGACTATCAGGATATTATAGAAGATTTATAACGGGCTATGCTGCAATAATTGTTGTCATCGTCCAAGCCTCTGCACCATAT